ATACATACATACATACATAACTACATACATACATACTCTCTTATACATACATATTACATAACTACATACATACATACATACATACACATAACTACATACATATCTCTCTCTCTCTCTCTCTCTCTCTCTTTCTCTCTCTCTCTCTCTTTCTATATCTCTCTCTCTTTCTATATCTCTCTCCCTCCCTCTCTCCCACACTCTCTCTCTCTTTCTCTTTCTTCCTCTGTCTGTCTGTCGGTCTGTCGGTCTATCTGTCTGTCTATCTGTCTATCTGTCTGTCTATCTCTCTCTCCCTCCATCTCCTCTCCCCTCTCCCTCCCTCCCCCTGTCTGTTTTTCTCTCCCTCTGTCTACTCTCCACTCTCCCTTCCTCCCCCTCCTCCTCTAATTAAATGATTGCCAAAGATTAAAGGTGTTACAAGAGGGTTAGAAACACAAAAAAGAAGGAGAGATAAGCTCGACAGAATATGTTTGATAGGAAAGAAGGAGAAAACCCCGCCAGAGCACCTGCCAACCACCCAGTGCATCGGGTCTTTTACCCCACGTTCGACCTGACTGAAAGGCAGGGTCGAAGCAGCCCGTCTTTTAAATTATCTTAAATTACAATAATTGACAAACATTGGGAAGTTACGGTTTTATATGGATTTCTGTTTTTAGATATTGATTTTTTAGAATTGTATTTTTTTAATTTTCAAAAATTGTTTTCAGCAAGACTAATTACAGTAGAATGTATTATATGAATTTCTTTTTTTTTATTCATTTATTTTTTAAAATTATATTTATTTTTATTTATTTTTTAAAAAATTTTCAGCAAGACTGCGAGTATGATTCAGTGCGTGTGAGCAGTGGAAAGGGGAAGGAACTCAAACTACACGGCGTGTTCTGTGGCTACACGTTTCCAGCTCCAGTGACGTCAGAGGGCAATACGCTCAGGATCGAGTTCAACTCGGATAACTCTGTACAGAAAACTGGTTTTACCGCTACTTTTATGACAGGTGAGTCAGATAGCCGGACTGACAGTCTGAGACCGACAGACAGACAGAGTAAAATATGGCTTTTACTGCCAATTTCATGACTGGTGATTTTGTGTATGTGTGTGCGTGTGTGTGTGTGTGAGAGAGAGAGAGAGAGAGAGAGACAGAGAGAAACGGAGAGGGAGGGAGGGAGAGGAAGGGAGGGAGAGAGAGAGAGAGAGGGAAAGAGAGAGAGAGAGAGACAGAGAGAAGGAGAGGGAGGGATGGAGAGAGAGGGAGGAAGGGAGGGAGAGAGAGAGAGAGAGGGAAAGAGAGAGAGAGAGCGCACGAGAGAGAGAGAGAGAGAGCGAGAGAGAGAGAGAAAAAGAGAGTGAGAGAAAGAGAAAGAGAGAGAGAGAGGATGTGTAGGGTGTTTGTGTATGTGTGATATGTATATGTGTGTAATTGATTGTTAGTGTGTATATCTATGTGTATGTGGGGGGAGGGGGGAGGGAGATAGAGGGGTAAAAACTCAATCTTCAATCGGTAACATCAACTGTAAGTAATATACCATCTCAAGTTTGATAATGCCCCCCCCTCCCCTCTCTATATTATCCTCCTTTTCTCAAACCCATCCCTTATGAAGATGAGTTGAGATAAACTTTATTGATCCTGAGGAAAATTTTGGGTAGATATACCAGAACATCACAAAGATTCGGCATTAACACAAAAGTGCACATCAGTATAACAATATACACATACATTCTTGTGGCGTCTGTGGCCTATGGTTAGGCTACCGGATTCATAATCATGAGGTTGCGGGTTCGGGGGTTCGAGCCGCAGGCCCGACGTTGTGTCCTTGGGAAAGTCACTTTACACAAAGTTTCCCCACTTCACTCAGGTGAAAATAGGTACCCAACTATAGACAGTGAAAGATCTTGTAAGTTTGTTAGTGTTTGAGCGCTTAACCAGCTGCTTGCACTGTATGCTTCCCGGGAAGCTGAGAATGTTTCTGAGTGTTCTATGGTCTGCTGGGGTAATAATATAGTGTAAAGTGCAAAGAGCTTGCTTTTGAGTAGGGACATGAGCTATACAAACGCTATTTATTATTTATTATTATTATCCTCTCTCAGACAAAGACGAGTGTGCTGTGGACAACGGCGGCTGTCAACACCTGTGTAAGAACACAGTGGGGAGCTACCAGTGCGCATGTCACAACGGCTTCACTCTGCACGATGACATGCACGGCTGCAAAGAAGGTGGGTGAATTTTTACTCTCTGAACTCACTCACTGATTTTATAGTCTGTTGTACCTTGACTTTGCTGATGTTGTTGTTTCTGTTGTTGTTGTTGTTGCCGTTGTTAATAATGATAATGGTGGTAGTGAGGTGGTGATGATGATGGTGGATGATGGTGATCAGATTAATGATGATGTTAGCTCGAAGGGCGATGACGATGGGGAGAAGAATGACAAAACGCTGATGGATGATGATGATCCTGATGATCATTATGATGATGGTGATGGTGGTGGTGGTGGTAGTGATATATCGTCATATTCTAGATATTTCCTTCTACCTGTATGCGTCCAGCATACTTGAAATCTCTTTAAATCTTGCAATAACATGTTTAGAAAATATTGGTCAACTTAAATTTTGATGAAAAAGGATTTTGGCCACCATCGTCAAAGTGCTATCTTTCCACCTCCAGCCAGCTGTGTCATATTCGCCAGAGATCTGCCTTTAGATCTCGCTCGTATGTGGACATCGGCCTTCCTCCTGTAAAACTGTTATAAAACTAAATCTACCTTAGCATTCCCATGTAGATCTCAGCCTTCCTCTCGGTAAAACTCTTACTGAAGCTAAAACTAATCCAACTTTCCCGCCATGCCCAGGTGGTTGCCAGTTTGAGATCCGGTCCCATTACGGCGTGATCTCCAGCCCTAACTACCCTGAGTACTACCCAAGCCGCAAGGACTGCGTTTGGCATCTGACCACCGTGCCCGGACACCGGATCAGACTCAAGTTCCGAGTGTTTGAACTGGAACCCCATCAGGTCTGTGCCAAGGACTTATTTATTATTATTGTCATTGCAGTATGCTGCTCTTATGGCCAAGCAAGAAAAATGAACAGAATAAAAGTGCTCTCGCACAAACATATGTGCTCTTTCTCTCATTTTCTCTCTCTCTGTCTCTCTCTCTCTGTCTCTCTCTCTCTCTCACTCACTCTCTTTCTCTCTCTCTTCCCCCTCTTTCCCCACTCTCTCTCTCTTTCTCTCTCTCTCTCTCACTTCTCTCTCTCTCTCTTTCTCTCTCTCTCTCTTCTTACTCTCTCTCTCTCTCTCTCTCTCTCTCTCTCTCTCTCTCTCT